ATGGTATTCAGATGGTACACTGGCCAAGTCCACTGGAGAGGGTTCATCTGCAGGCTGAGAAACTACTGAGGGAAGAGCAGAGTGAAGACACGATGACAGACAGTATGTGCTCCAGGACTCTACCCGACTGTTCCTCCAATCAAGGTGAGGATTATGACGGAGAAGCCATGGATAGCCTAGAACCACTGGAGACTGGGGAGAAGGGAATACAAAAAAGGTGATTTCCTCACGATGATTTCCTGAAACCAAAAGCTCAATGGGAATTGTGCGATGAGTTATGACAGGTAAGGCTTTACCATTAAGTGCAGAAACCAAGACTGGGGCTGGAAGAGGAACAGAGGGTATCTGGAGTTGATTTACAAGGTTATCATCAATAAGGTTCTGTTCACAACCAGAATCTATTAAAACGAATGTCTGAAAGGACTGATTACTTGTAATCAGTGAACATGGTAGAGTTAAACGGGAGGCTTTCTTAGAGTGGCCCACCACTTCTCCCGTAGCTAATGATGGGCTTTGTCTTTTGGCAGGTTCTTACAGTTAGCAATGTAGTGCCCTGTTTGACCACAGTAAAGGCAGGCGCCAGACCTCATGCGACGCTGTCGTTCTTCAGGAGTCAGTCTGGTTCTTCCTATTTGCATAGGTTCCTCTGGGGATTGATCTGTGGGGGCAAAATTGAATTCCACTCTGTTTGGGCATATACTCAGTTCTCTCTTAGAACGGGTCCTGTCTCTGACCCTATTGTCAATCCTGATAGCCATAGAGATTAGATCCTCTAATGAGCCTGGTTCATCTCTGTAAGCCAGTTCATCTTTAATGTTCTCGTTCAGAGCTTGTAGAAAAGCTCCCTTCAATGCCTCTGTGTTCCAACCAGAAGAGGCTGCCAGGGTTCTAAAGTCAATAGCAAAATCTGCTACAGCTTGACGACCCTGCTTCAAATTCCACAGCTTGCGGGTGATATCAGAACGTGATTCAGTATACCCAAATGTCTGTTTAAATGTGGACACAAACGAGTCATAAGTTCCCTGAAAAACGACTTGCTGTCCAAAATTAGCCTCCGCCCATTTTAGCGCTCTTCCCCTTAACAAACCA